CGTCTGACTGCTGCCTACCAGGCCGGCTGGCCGTGAGAGCGTCTGACTGCTGCCGACCAGGCTGGCTGGCCGTGAGAGCGTCTGACTGCTGCCGACCGGGCTGGCTGGCCGTGAGAGCGTCTGACTGCTGCTGACTGAGAGAGTCCACGCATGCTGCTGGATACACAAACCTGCTGGCTCTTCGCAGAAGCCGTCCTCAAAGTAGGACTTTTACGCTCAGTACAGAGTAAACATCCGAGTTTTGTTCGGGAACGCAAGGCGTAAAACAGCGCGCTGCGGTGAAATGATGTGGAATTTTGCAACGTCTTTCTTATGATTGGTTGGGTCATCGCCCTGTATGTAGCAGTTATAAGAAGCTTGACTCAGCTACGCTTGGCAACTGTTAAGGCTCTATATCTACTGAAATCGCTTTTCTTGTTGTTACACTGTCTAGTGTTATTTGCAATGAACAACTCATCGCGCATCTCAGTATGCAACATTTTTGTAACGGCCTTTCTAATTGACCTTCCCCTATACACGGATTACGCCAACCCAATAATTGTTCTTGCTTTAAGCAGGAACGTAGAAAGATGCGGTTTACAACACTGGTGGACAATTTTTTATCCTCGTTTTTGCAGGAAGTTTTCCAGAAAACCGTAAGTATTCTGCAGTTTTGGGCTTTGCGTGAGCGCTATGGCAAGGAAGGTCACGGAAGTGGCTCATTCCTTGTGACAACTTCTAACGCATTACACGTTATCGATTCAGCATCTTTCTTGACGTTCAAAGCGTTCAGCCAATGGCAAAGTGGCAAAATGGCTACATTTTGATTGTTTCTGGTTTGTTGAGGTCTAAAGGCTACTTTCTGAAATTAGCCATTCCTTTTCTCTACAGAAAGGAGACCTGAAGGAACTCTTCCGCTAACGTTTAAACGCTCTTGAATCCCCGTGATTTGATCAACAAAGCATTACAAAGGTGATTTTTGGTACCCTATAGGCGCTTTTGATTCCCGATGCATCCCCACCAGGCATTTCTATGGACTGGATACCAGGCAGTGGTAGCCGTTGTCAGTGCGGGATTCGCAATGGACTGGAGAGAGGCCACGGAATATGAAACAGGGGTCAGTACTGTGGGGACGGCATGTCGCCGTACGGCTCCTCTAGGACCCCTGAACGCGACGGGTCGTGCTCCACATGACTCTCGGAGTATCGCTGTGACCAGAGGCTGCCGCCGCTGTCTCCCACCCTCACCGCCATCGGCAGTCCTCGTCGCCCGCCCCTGCCGTCATTGGCAGTCCCCGCCGCCCGCCTATGCCGCCATCGGCATTCCCTCCTGCAGGCCTCCGCCGCCATCGGCATTCCCCGCCGCTCGCCTCCGCCGCCATCGGCATTCCCGCCGCCCGCCTCCGCCGCCATCGGCATTCCCCGCCGCACGCCTCCGCCGCCGGCCTCTGCCGCCATCGGCAGTCCGCAGTCGCCGCCGGCCGGGCTCGCTGCGCCGCTGCGATACGGCGGAACAGCGGAGGCTCAGTGTCGGCTCAGTACCCCGCTGATAATGCAATCTTGCGCCCATTTGGCGCACGTTGTCACGCTGGCGGTCCGGATGCCGGCCCGTTTTTGTCTGCGCAGGCAGCCCGACGTATGCCCAGCCAGCCGGTCGGGAGACAGTCGAGGTGCTGACAACCTTGACTTTGGACTACGGGGCCGTGCTGCCGTGGAGTGCCCGCAGCACCGGCGGAGAGAGCAGTCATCGCTGCCGACAGCCCTGCTCGTGGTCCTAACCGACGACAGGCAGCCGGGCTCGGTCCGTGTCCGGCTCGGCTCAGCTCTGGATCAATCTTGACCAGCGGGCTGGGCCCAGCGCCGGCGCGCTCGCCACCGCACCGCACTCCGCTGGCCAGCGCAGCGGCGCTCCACTGGCAGCGCAGCGGCACAGTGGCAGCACAGCGGCGCAATAGCAACGCAGCAGCGCTCCACTGGCAGCATAGCGACACACTGACCAGCGCAGCGGCACAGTGGCAGCACAGCGGCGCACTAGCAGCGCAGCAGCGCTCCACTGGCAGCGCAGCGGCGTTCCGCTGGCCAGTGCAGCAGTACACAGGCAGCGCAGCGGCACACTGCCAGCACAGCGGCGCACTGGCAGCACAGCGGCGCACTAGCGGCGCAGCGGCACGCGAACAGCGCAGCGGCACACTGGCAGCGGACGTACGCCCTTGCGTCTGCGTTGCACGACACGGGCACGTTACACCCGGCCCTGGTGTGCTCCCCAGCTGGTCGTCGGTGCCGTCTGGCTGCTGCTCAGCTTCCGTCGACAGGCGTATGCGGTAGTGACGGGACCGGGCGCCGCCGCCTCATCGGGCGGGGCTGGTGGTCGCGGCGTCACGAGGTTGAGAGAGCTGGTCGTGTTCGGATGTCGCTGGTCGGTGCCAATGGCTGTTTATCAACGCCGCGTCAGACGCAATGCCCGCGATTTGAGACGAGCGAGGCGATAACCGACGTAAGATTTATCGTAACACCATGGATATGGCATCAACACTTGAGCTAAAATATATTTCCAGACACCCTCAGGAGGTCGTGCTCATAGGTGAGGTCAAGTAATGCAGAGTCTGAGCGGCGTCGGCCTTACTGTTTTATCTGCTGTGGTTTGTAGTATGTGACCTCGCTTCATCAAACGCTCCAAACGGCCAGATCCCTGATTCGCCCGAGCTCGAGCCCGCGTGACCGGCTGTATGTGTGAGCGCGCACATTTGCCATCACGGTTTTATGATCTCGGATGATCTATCGTTTGTCAAATTGTGATAGTCCCGAGTCGCTGCGACGCTGGGTAATCGAGATTCACGATAAATGAACCTCGACTACTAAAATATCCAGTAGTCGAGATTTAGACGCCGCTTTGACCCGAGCATCTATTCAGCTGCATTTAACAACGTTAACCATGTAAATCGAGCGGGAAGGGTCATATTTTCCTTCCATTGCAACGCCGCAAAGTTATCACGCCAGCTCGAACGGCTTTCACGCACCTGGCCGAGTATGGCAGCACATCTTGCACATCAGCACATCTTGCGCTCTTTAATGCTTCAAGTGCATCATGCTTCGTTAACAGTCGAAAAATGGTTGCTAATACCGTGAAGGTATGAGCTTTTATTGGGCCCAACAGCCTGACCGGGCAAGCTGGTCTGTTTTAACAGTCAAATTATCTCAAACTCATTTCACTGTTCTTTGTCCAGCGTCTCCGTCCGTTGTGATAAGCAATATGATGACCCCGACGCAGACTAACGCTCTGTGAAGCAAATGCGTATATCCCGTCTTTTCAACCAATTTGTCTCTGTCACTTTGCTTGGAGGCGCTGTGACAGCCGACTCCAACGGAGCACCCATTTCCCGAGGAATTGCTGACACTTTTCAGCGAGTTTCCTTAACTTTGAAAAGCCACGCACAAACAGAGGTGGCATAACTTATGCTTTACGGGGTGCAAAACGTTTCCAGCTTATCACATTATATTATGTCATATTGTACATACGTATGTGCATATATATATATATATATATATATATATATATATATATATATATATATATATATATATATATATATATATATATATATATATGCATATATGCATATATGCGTATTATTTAGCTTTGTGCCATCCAGTCATAGAGCCTGGCAGCTTCTGGCCTACGCCCCTGGAACTGCGCTAACCGCGGCTGCAGATGCTGTTTGAAAGAAACACGTAGCCTCTCCCCCTTCCCCCTTTCATTGGGGATGCCGCAGCAGTGACCGACCGCTCTCCGAAGTCCGAGGCGCCGTCCCGTGTGTTCGGCCGGACACGAACCGCCGGCCGTCCGCCAGCCCTGACTGGACGACATGATGATGGAGCGTGGGTAGAGTGTGCGCCAAGGAAAAGTTATGGGGTCGGTCGGCGTCGCACTAAGTGGACCAAGGCGGACCCGAGTCTTTCGCGGATGCCGTAATCGGATAATGAGGGATAATGGCGCGGGTGAGAAAGCCACAGCGAGCTTTGGGCTGTTGAATACTCCCAGAGACCGATCAGACCACCGCGAAGCGGGCGGCTCCCTCGCCTCGCGCGGGGTCGGTGGTTTAGGCTATCTTTTCCCTGGCGGCTGTCGGGCGGAGATACTTGTACAACCTATGCGACTTATGTATATATATATATATATATATATATATATATATATATATATATATATATATAGCACAACGTGCGCTTCTTAGCGCTTTAGATGCATCATGATGCTTCCTACGATCGATGGCTGCAATTCCGGAAAGGTATTATCTCCTGGAGAAACCAAGTCCTATCTTTCAACAATTGTGCTTTTTCTGGACACCGGTGAAGCGCTTCTCGAGCGCTCTCGTGAACTGTCCAATCGTGAAAACCCAAGCTTCTGGATATTTTGGCGCAAAAACCTAATGATGCATAGTTCTTCGGCATAACGTTCTAGATTGGGAATATTTTAGAAGACCTGCAGCTGTTATAACTTATATCAGCCAAAAACAACGGAGCGGGTTTTTATCGACAAAACGCTTTGACCTCTGACCTTCCCATTGCACCTGACGTAGTCCTGTAAATAGCCCGACAGTGTCATCACCCACACAAAGTGTGTGGAGCAGCCGAGGGAACTTCAACAGTGCTCCCCTCTGGAGTGTCACATACGTGTGGCCCTCCAGACACCAACAGTGTGGCTCCTCTCAGAATTGTTACATACGTGTGACCTAACAGGGTAGCGCTGCGCTTCCTTCAAAGCGACCTTGATCGATCGGCCCCATTTGCCCGCTGCACCAACTATTGCCTCCAATGCCGTCCCCTCACTAAGTCCCTCCAGGGACTCCAAGCCACAGGGGCATCCGCTCTCTCACCGGGTCTCTCCAGGGACGCCAAGCCGTCCATCCTCTTCACTGGGTCACTCCAGGGACGCCAAGCCGTCCGCTCTCTCGCTGGGTCCCTCCAGGGACCCGGGCCTCGCGTTCAGGTCGGAGGATTGTCAGGTCGCACCTCCTCTTACAGAACGTGCCGAAAGCGGTGCCGGCCGATGCGCAGTGCATTCTGCAAGGCGCCGTGGCCAACAGCAACGTCAGAGGCACGATAAGCTTCAGGAGGGGCGGCGGCACCATCACAGTCACCGGCACTGTCACAGGTGGGACACGGCGACGGTGCGCGGTGGCGCCGAGGTTCTGGAACCATGGCTTCGTGGCGGAGGATGGTGATTGGAATGATGACATTGGGGTAGACGACATTGTTTGAAATATTACAGGGTGAGATGGACAGTAAGTTCAGAACACTGATTTAGGTAATACTACATACAAAATCCTTAGAAAAGCCGGCTGCTCACGAAAAAACCGAGTTAGTCATATGACAAAGCGAAAAACGTCATGCCGTGATGTTGAAAGACAGATTTATAGACTCCAGTCTATGATGACGGTGATATAGATCGATAACAGGTAGAGGTTCAGAAGACAAAACAGCGTTGAGGGAAAACCAATGGTAGGATGTGTTACGGGGCGGTGAGATTTCACACAGGATGTGTAACGAGACCCATTCCTTTCGCACAACCAGCGCTTCTCAGGCGTAGCCTCTGCGGGCGCATCCCACATGACCTCATAGCTCCAACCGACGAACGCTAGATATTTCTCCCAGCTCGCGGGATGTGCTGTTTCCAAATACCGACAGCCTGTGAGGCCCAGCTTGGAAGCGTGCAGCTCGGCATCTAAGCTAGTCCATATAAATCCAACGTGTACACAAACGCGTAAGGTATGCAGAGTAACTCACTACGCAGCCTTTGTTTTGTGTTTACTTGAGCTTACGATATCACATCCAGCAAGCTACCCTGGATGAACGGATGTCAAGTTCTTTCACAGGCCATGGGGTGTCTCTGGATATCCCGCCGAAGTCCCGCGCATTTCAGTGTACCACCAGTCCACTCCGCGATCGAGCCTGGTCTCAAGCTGACCCCCTGGCTGACCCCCTGGCTGACCCCCTGGCTGACCCCCAGCTGACCCCTGGCTGATCCCTGGCTGACCCTGGCTGACCCTGGCTGACCCCTGACTGACCCTTTGACCCTTATCTGACCCCTAGCTGACCCCTAGCTGACCCCCAGCTGACCCTTGGCTGACCCCTGGCTGACCCTGGGTGACCCTAGCTGACCCCTGACTGACCCTTTGACCCTTATCTTACCCCTAGCTGACCCCTAGCTGACTCCTGGCTGACCCCTGGCTGACCCCTGGCTGACCCCTGGCTGACCGGTGGAGTGCTTCTCCGCAGGACTGAGTCCGGGCAAGCACGGCTTCCACGTGCACCAGGCGGGCAGCACGGCCAACGGCTGCAAGGCGGCCAAGGGACACTTCAACCCGCTCGGTGAGCCGGAGAGGCCGCCGTCCTGGCCGGCCGGCACGGGTCACGTAGGCGTACGGCGACAACGGCGTCGCGGAACAGTGTAGTATAGGCGGAAGGTGGGAGGGGGGGGGGGATGAGGGAGAAGGGTTCACGTGGCGTGTCGTTGAGCATACTGGTGTATGAGTCGAGCGCCTATCGGTTGACGTATTTATTTTGACGTATATTTTCCATATTCAAATAATCGGCACGTGAATTCCTTGGGCAATGCGATGTCGTCCTATGCCCCTAGGTTATTGCCTGCAATTCGCACTTGACATTAAACGCGATTTCTTTCCTGCGTCTCTGTTTGACTTGAGATTTGATTTTTCCAGATGATAGTTGACCTGATCTGACCTTTCTGCCCTCTGCGCATTTGCATTCTCTACCTGAATTTTGGGGTTCACTACACTGACGTGCCAAATGCTGACGTGACGGGCATGGGTCCGCCTCGGCAGCTGTTGATGTTAGCTACCCTACCCTAACTACCTCGGCTACCTCCTTTACCTACCCTAACTTGCTTCGGCTTGGCTCTTGCCATTGCCCGAGACTGACCTATCTAACCTTCAACGCGGGGTCTAGCACAGCCTAAGCTGCTTAGCTTAGCCTGAACTATCTCGCCCGGCCTGACATGGCCTGGTCTGCTTGGTCACATAACAACGCGACTTGATCTGACTTGACCTGGCCGGCAGGCAAAGCCCACGGCGCCCCGTCGTCGGCAGAACGTCACGTGGGTGACCTCGGCAACATCGTGGCCGACGCCAACCAGTTGGCCAACATCAACATCAAGGACAGCGTCATACGGGTCAGACGACGGCCGGCCCCTGGCGGAGACGAAGGGGCCGGCAAACAGGGGTCCCTCGTTCAGATGTGCGGAGCGCGGTGTTTTACTGGTTATTTCGGTAGTTGGTGGCGCGCGCATCAAATGCTGTTGAGCTTAAACAACGCGTAAAATTAGCTCCCAAAATCTACGCCAAGGTAGACAAAGCAAAGGACGCTAGATATCATTTGAGATGACAGCATACGAACCATCGCTAAAATGAATAGTCAGTCCGCTACAGGCTTGAGAAGTTTGCGGTTAGTACACATTAGTCACAGGCAATGAAGTACTCATCAATGTGTGCAGTGAAGTCAGTGTTTACTGTTCGTTTGCATTATCACCCCAGCGGCCAGCCGCAGTGATGTCACTGCTGGGCCATTCCCCTCCACAATGTCAATATGCTGCAATGCGCCTCAGTGAGCCCGCCTGGCAACGAGTGCGGCGTGCCGCACGGCGCCAGCGTACCCCTCCCCCCAGTTTGACAGCGTTACAGTTGCACCCAGAAGTACGTGATATACTCGCGCGCACGTAAATCCTCACGCTTTCTCGCGCTATTGTCGCGCACATTTGTTCGGCACCTAAGAGCGATCGCAATTGTTTATCGTTGCACTGTTTCTTACGTAGTGCCATTCCCGTGAATCGTTTTCCTTCTCGAGAATGCTGCTTTCTGGGGCGGCACATTTATTTTCTCTGTCTGTTTCTTGATGCTTTTCGTGTTTCAAAGCAACTCAACTGCTATATTTATATTTTCTATGGTCTGTTTTAAAAGGATTCACTGGAAGATAAATGGTAAACCCTCAAATAATGCGGTTGTATATGTCCTGTCACGCATCGCAGTCTGCCGGTGAGGGTACACTCCTAAATAGTTTGATCATCATTCGCTACAGTTCGCAGTCTTCTGCTAAAAGGAAAACCATGGGTAGTCTGTTAACGCCACGTGATATCCGTATTTCGCTTGTAAACGTAAACCCCCGTGGTTTACATTTACATTTTATCCGCACGGTCCGTTACCACGCTGCCGTGTCCGCAGTTTGCCGGCGACGGCAACATCCTGGGTCGGGCGATTGTGATCCACGCCGGCGAGGACGACCTCGGTCTGGGAGGTCAGAGTGACAGCAAGACGACCGGCCACGCCGGGGCCCGGCTCGCGTGCTGCATCATCGGCGCCGTCAACTGAGCTGTGACGTCAGCGGGACGACGTGGCCGCGAGCGTGACGTCGTAGGAGCTGTGGACGGAGAGCGTTCCCCGCGGTCTCAGCGGCGGCTGGCGTGTTGTCATGACAACCGCGTGCTGACCGTTCGACGTTCTTCCTGGTCGACGATGGTCTTTTCCAAAGTGAGGACAAAGTGCGTGCGACTTCGGTACTTCAGCCGAAGGCGTGACGTCATTGGTTCCGGTCAGAGAGTGATGTTGATATGTCCTTGAACTCGGAGTGTGGATACCGCTGCCCGAGTTTGTGCCTTGCTTAGGGCCGTCAGCTGAATGTGTGAGTTCTCGAGTGTCCCCAGCTGGGCTGTGGCCCGTACGGAGGCGGCACAACCGATGGAGGCGACTGAAGAGCCCGGACTTGGTGGGAATGTCTTGGTCTGCGAATCTCTCGTCATTTTCTGACAGGAATTTTGGGCAAAGGCAGCTGCGACAAACTCTGGCTGCGATTTACACATGAGGAGAGATTTACGTCAACTACATTCCTTTCGTTATTCAACACAGTGACATGTCATTTGCTAAAGTTCGCGATGCCTGCGAAGTTGGCAATTGCACGTTGGGAATTGCACCAGAAAGCTAAATGAGTTTCGTCAGCAAGGATAGGGTATAATCCCAGGACGTCAGTTGCTGTCGAGCGCCTGGTGCACTGGTCACGGGCCCGAGACATGCTTTACGACAGGGCAGTTCCAGAGGGTGTGAATAGTAATCCCCGCGGAAGGTACATTCCGTCCAATTTTCAAGCTGAGGTTGTACCGCTAGCACTACGCTGTTGCATTCGCAGAGTCTGCTGTCAGCGCCGTAATTCGCGCATGAGGTGTTCAGATACGTTCAGACAATTGTTGACACACTTTTCAGACGTTTGAGTGACTGCCCTGGGCCTGTATGTTCAAATTTTGGTGGCTTTGTCGAAGGATTGAAGGGTGCAGGTCACGAAACAACTGGTTACGCACTCGTTACTAAAAAATAACTTCTTTTGTATTGAGATAGCCTCTGGAATGATTGGCAGGCTGCTGCCTTGTTAAACAGCATTGCTGACGCATATATTCGACATAGGCCATTGAAACCCAATTTAAGAGGTCATGGGAAAAATTGTATGACATCGTGGCGAAACACCCTAAAACAGAACACCGCCTTCCACGATGCTACCTCAGTTCCAATGCAAAGCCGCCTGCACTTTTCAAAATTCTTAATTCCGTGATACCATTTATCATCTCGGTGGAATGTGCCACTTTCGTGAGCCTGCTTCCAACGCCGCGCAGGGAAAGGAACAGTTTCGAAGCATTGACAGGAAATATTTTGTAAGCTAGAGCATACCTACTGTCGGTGAAAATGATGTGACAAACCGAGATGCACATTGAAAAGTGTATGCTTTGTCAAGATTTTATGACCGAACAGGCTCCTTTTCAAGGTTTACACACATGCATGAGTATTAGGAAGTGCGCGTAAGATTGTATCGCACCTGATGTCCTAGAGAAAGCGTGCATAACACTCACTGCCTGGTTAGAAGTCGAGGTATATTTCACAATGCAATTGGTAATCATTTACATTTTCTTTAGTGTTTTGGGTTTTTCGATGGTGCTCAGAACGCTATGTGCTTTTAATGTTCACAAACAACATTCCGTATTAATTTGTATATGGTTAAATATATCAAATTGTATATGGAAAAGCTATGTCTGTGAATATTGTAATTGTGCACAAAGTTTCGAATACATATGCGTATTTTCTGTTCGTTGTGGCGCAAAGCATCTAAGGACGATCTTACATGCAATACAAATACATGGATGTCTTGGTTCCCAAGGATCTGGTCATCGTAATCGACAGTTGCTCGGTTTGAATTCATGTAATCACTGATCAGATCACCTTGAGTGACAGTCTGAATGTAGATAACACAGTAGTTATGATTAAACTGTTGAGGCTTTATGGCGGTGCCTGCCTCTCATCTTGCCAGGATGACTGGACTCCGTGGAAAATCTAACCCCATACCTCTGCCTTCCCAGGCACGAAGAATACCGCTGCACTGTAACTGCTACACTTACGGTGCCATAAGGTCTCAATACGTCTGCAATGCCTTTGCGTTGAGGATTTGCTATTGACGCAACACGGGAATCTTGATAATACAGCAATCGATGGCCAAGTGACCTGATGCAATGCTTTTCAATTCCGTGTTTTGCTGACCACCACGTGCTTCTGACGTAATTGACAACGCGCAGAGAGCTGGTTCGTAACAAACTTCAACAACTGCAGTTGTATACAATAATTTGGACTCGCTGTGAGCAAGCGTCGCTCCGAAGCCATGCTGGCTGGCTATCCGATGCCCGTTTCCAACCAGTTCAAGCCTTGATCAGAGTGAGGGTAGACGTACAGGGTACAGGTACGGCATAGATGGCGCTGCGAATGCTCCACCAGGCGGCGAAGCTGCTGCATAACTACGCGCAACGGATTTACCACTACCTGATATTGCCCGCAACATGATTACTCATGGTCTCACTCATAACATAGACACAACCTGTTGGGCCACCTGGCCACGAAAAATCAAACGCATACTAGTAAAAGAAGAAGCATAATTTGACATGAGCCGGATGTGCGTGATACGCCAGGCCTTCACTGCCGCAATGCTCGCTTCTGCTCCAACTTCGAAAGCAGCAGTCTACGGCTCATTCTTTCCCCTAGTTTTCCTTGCAGTCGACTTCCACTAGGACATCTTGTGGCTTCGCATGTTCTCAGTGCCGTTGTCGCTGGTACAGCTGCAGAAGTCTAACGCAAGAGGGTCCGAGGAGCCCCTGACCAGTCTCGCAATGGGCGCGTTCCGCCGAGAGAAACGACAGATCTGTCTCCCACGCACCATGCGCAGTCAACGGTCATGACAATGCAAAACAAAAACAAAAAATAAAACAAAACAACAACAACAAAAAAGAAGCAAATCGGTTCTGACCATGCCCTGAAAATTGTACGGAATCTTCCCTCAATACGGAAAATTATCCCAGATAATTGTCCGTGTTGGCAGCACCGAACACCACTCCGGACAATTCTCTAACACTCCGGATAATTTCCGAGATTATCTGCCGCCCGAACGCACCCAATGTACCAAGAGATTTCGTCGTTTCACCGTCCTTAAAGCCACGCTCGCAGTGCACTTGCATCGGTATTTTGATGACAACTGTTTATGGTTGCAAACGCGGGGCTCAGAGTCATTGGCGACTAACACATGGTTAAAGCAAACAACGGATTTCGACGCGACGCTAACTAACTATACACGTAATAAATATAGCTAGACCCAAGGCGAATAATGTGCCATGACAAATGACACAGTTGCCACACGAGGCTCAAAAGTAGCAAAGTTTAGTATGGCAGAAGGGCATTGCTTTTGGGATCAAACCTGTTGATAAATGTGGCCATTTACGCTTTGGGTCAAAACCGGCGGCACGTCTTCTTTGATACAGACATTATTGAAGACTGATGTGCAGCCATCTTTAACAAAATTTGTCCGTGTTTGCTTGCACGAGTTAAAGCTTTGTTTAACTTCGTTTGGTGAGTTCACGTGGAGAGATTCGCGCACCATCGGGAAATTCGATTCAAGTATGTTTTGAAAAATATGTAACAGGCTCTGACGTGTGCTGGCACAATTTCATTTAATTATGCTTTTGAAATATGTGACACGCTCTGACAAGCGTTGGCACTCTTGGCGTGTCCTTCCAGCGAAAAATAAATTCATCAGATGATTTTCAAATATTAGTAATCTGAAACAATTCATCACATTGGGCCAAATGTCATGCATTGC